ATCCATTTATGACGAATCCATTCCTAATCATGACACTGTCAAACTTTTTGTGCCATTGTTTAGGAGCTTGCTTCAAACCGTATAAGGACTTAACTAGTTTGCAAACTTTGTTCTCTTGTCCTTTCACTATGGAAACCTTCTGGCTGTTCCATATATACTTCTTCGTTTAAATCACCATTCAAGAAAGCAGTCTTAACATCTATTTGATGTATTTGTAAGTTGTATAAGGCTGCAATAGCAATTAAAATCCGAATAGAAGTAATTCTTATTACTGGAGAATATGTATCAAAGAAATCAATTCCTTCTTTCTAACAATATCCTTTTGCAACCAGTCGAGCCTTGTATTTGTCTATTGAACCATCAGATCTTAACTTTCTTTTAAAGATCCATTTGCATCCTATTGGTTTAGTTCCCTTAGGAAGATCAACCAATTGCTAAGTATTATTACTCATAATAGATTCAATTTCACTATTTATAGCTTCCTTCCAGAATACGGATTCTGGACTAGTCACAGCTTCTTTAAATGTTTGGGGCTCTTTCTCAATTACGAAAGAAATAAAGTCTGGACTAAAGGATTTAACGACCTTTGCTCTTTTACTCCTTCTTGATTCAGGTTCTATATTGTTTTCAATAGCATTATCTCATGTTCTCTTTTGAGTATTCTCAAGAATATCTCTTTTATTAGCGAACACATCTTCAAAGAATTCAGCATCTCGAGATTCAAAAATTGTATTGACATGAATGTCACTTATATCAGATTTATGCACAAGAAATCTGTACGCACTACTATTTATTGCATATCCGATAAGAATGCAATCAATAGTTTTAGGACCTAACTTAATCCTTTTGGAAGGTGGAATAGCCACTTTAGCTAGGCATCCCCACACTTTTAAGTATTTATAGGAAGATATTCAACCTTTCCATAACTCATAAGGTATCAAACCAGTTTTCTTATGGGGAACTCTATTCAGAATAAAGTTAGCAGTTAGAACTGCTTCCCCCCACAAGTTTTGTGGTAATCCAGAACTTATAAGCATAGCATTAACCATGTCTTTTAGAGTTCTATTTTTCCTCTCAGCAATCCCATTTTGCTGCGAAGTATACGGGACTGTTGTTTGGTGAATAATACCAAACTTAGCACGTAATTCATCAAACATGGACGAATCATATTCACCACCTCTATCGAATCTTAATACCTTAATTGTTTTTCCAAGTTGATTTTCAACTTCATTTTTGTAAGTAACAAATGCATTCAATGCTTCGTCTTTGCTACTTAATAAATAAACTTGGCAATATCTACTGTGATCATCTATAAACGTGATAAAATATTTTTTACCACCTCGAGTCTGAACAAATTTTAGATCACAAATATCGCTGTGTATTAAACACAACGATTCACTACTCCTTTCAATTGTGTTAAAAGGTTTTTTTAGCAAATTTTGCTTCAACACAAATTTCACATTTATGTTTGTCTTCGAAGTCAAGTTTAGGTATAAGACCTAAACCTACAAGTTTTCTTAAGGAAGCACGATTTACATGTCTTAATCTGCTATGCCATAAATTTGAAGATTCAAGCAAGTAAACAGAAACATTAGTTTTATTGATAACTTGTGGATACAAATATATGGATTTTTTGTCCACTATAACAGCATTGGCCTTAAATAGACCATCAAGTAAATAACCCTTCCCAACATACATGCCCCCCTTAGTAAGTACAAATCTATCAGATTCAAACACCATTTTAAATCCTTTCTTACTAAGAATAGCTCCTGAAATCAAATTCTTTCTGATATCTGGGACATGTACAACTTCATTAAGCGTTAGTTCCTTCCCCGATGTGAATTTCAGAATAACCTTTCCAATCACTTCAATATTGGATGTTGTAGAATTTCCCATGTAAAGACACTCATTATGATTCAAAGTCTTATATTCAGCGAATAGACCCTTATCTGCACAGATGTGATGAGTGGCTCCTATGTCCAACCACCAATCCTTAGCATTAGATACCAAATTAACTTAAAAAACAGCAGCAGATAGGTTGATGTCTCCAACATCCGTAGAAATTTTATCCACTTCGGTTATATTGGCTTGGGGCGATTTCTTTTTCTGTGTATCCTTCTTTTTGCTTCGACAGTCTTTAGCCCAATGTCCGACTTCCTGCAAATATAACAGTTTCCTTTGAACCGTTTTGCATTGTTGACTTTTTCTTTGTCCACAGATGAGCTAAAATGCTTCCTTTTCTTGTTCTTAGACCTCGAGTCTTCCACCATTTTAGCCTTTGCTTTCATGTTGTGGACATTATTTTTCTTTTCTGCAGCTCGGTTGTCTTCTTCAATGCGAAGTCGAACAATTAGATCCTCCATCGTCATCTCTTTGCGTTTATGCTTGAGATAGTTTTTGAAATCTTTCCATAGTGGAGGTAGTTTCTCGATCATAGCAGCAATCTGGAAAGATACACTCAAAGTCATACCTTCAGCTTCAATATCGTGAAGTAGAACTTGTATCTCTTGAACCTGACTCGTACTGTCTTTGAATCAGTCATCTTGAAATCTAGAAATTTGCCGACATGAATTTCTTCGTTCCAGCATCTTCGATTTTGTATTTTTTGTCAAGAGACTCCCACAGTTTTTTAGCCGTCTTGTAATTACAATACACACTATATAAAGTGTTATCCAATCCATTGAGAATGTAATTACGGCATAAGAAATCTGCATGTTTCCATGCTTCAATAGCTAACTGAGTATTTTTATCAGTAGCATTTTTCGATGTTTGTGCAAGATATTCTTCACGCAGAAATTTTACTAAGTTAGCATCTTCTGTTGCCAACGTTTGAAATCCGTGCTATTGAACTTTTTCGGTTTCTCATGTTGTGAAGCTGGTAGCATGACAAATTGATTGGAACCAAAATTTGGCGCAATCACAGCATTAGTATTGCTCTCAACAGTACCAATCACAACGCTAGTATTATTAACTGATGTACTAGCCATTTTCTGTAAAATCACAAGTACAGGAAATAATCAATAATAGAAATGTAGAAGACATGAGAAAATAAATCTGTCTTAAGATTGTTGTCGGAAACTCGACTAACGCAATCAAAAGAACAAATAAAGTAAGCAGAAAAAATAGAAAATAGTAGATGAAGCGAGGTATGCCAAAGCAAATCTCTTTAAGACAAATTTCGCCCCCCAATGAAGTGCAAACGGGATTATGGACGTCTGTCTCCCAAGATACAACGCTCCTTCCAAAGTCGATACTGCACAATACCAACTTTGTCGGTCGAACCAATGAATAATCGTACTCGAACGGAATAACCACGAAAATATAAGAGAATTTTTAGATCAGAATATGAAGAGAGAAGAATTTAGAAATCAATTGAATTTGTAATTGATTTGGTGTGTAAAAAAACGAATCTGGGGGTCTCTATCTATAGAGATTGAAGTGTCTCATGGAACAGGTGTGTGACATTTCAGGAATTAGTGCACCACTTGGTCTGATTCGTCTTAGCCATTGGATCGCACTATTTTCATGATCTGACGGCCCAGATTGAACCATGAAGTGAAGTGTCCATTCATCATGCCTATTCACCAATTTCTGAACAGTCACAGCCATGCGGATGCCACGCGTACATCTAACCGCCACACAGGATTAAAGGGCCCCGACCTACCAAGCGTGCGCCACTTAGAATGCCAACTCACCGAGCCTTGCGCTGCCACGTCATCGAACCATGAGTCCATTTTCGAAAACTATAAGGCTCCTCAGCTCCTCGCGATGATGCGTACGTGCGAAGTGCCAAGTGCGCCTCTAAAGCGCCCAATGCGTACTTTGCGTTGTGCGCGTGCCGAGTCTGGAGAGCGGTGCGAGTGGTGCTAGTGGTGACTAGCCTTTGGCTAGCTAAAGTTAGCCTAGTGGTAGGTAACTTATTAAATTATATATTATTCACACAACCCACTATATAAACAAGATTATTTTCTTCGCACTACTCTAGTGGTGACTAGCCTTTGGCTAGCTAAAGTTAGCCTAGTGGTAGGTAACTTATTAAATTATATATTATTTACACAACTCACTATATAAACAAGACTATTTTCTTGTAAACTTTCGATGTAGGATTCCTTTCCATATATAAAACACTTAAAATGAGCTTATCAATATATGGGCCTATATTGAAGACTTTTCCAATTCATCCAAATTAATTGCAATGACCCACATCATTAAATATTACATTTAATGTTTTAACCCAATTACATTCAATTAATTCCAACACACAACCCTTCCAATAGGCAACTATACACTGCAAGAGTTCCACCAGGGTAAAAAAAGAAAAAAGGTGCTCAGCGGAGAGACGTGGTGGAGACTCACGGCGTTCCTTGGTACGATGCAGTGAAGGCGGTTTCTTATGAATCCACAGTGAATTGAACTGTCCAAAGGCATTATTAGAAAATTTTCTCTTTGCTCTTGGCTCTTAAGACTTTCTGTCCCGTCACATCCTTCATTTACAGCCTCTGCTAATCGAAGTGTATAATGATTAAATGTAAAGCTACCAACTGCATGCTTGAAGTTCAGTGTATATATGTACAAGAGAAAAAAAAAATGGTTCAATTTGAAAATTTTTGGTAATAGTCAATTAATTAATTTGATGATATTCTATCGTAAAGGAATTTGTAATGGATTCACTGACCAAACAATGCGTAATAAAACAATATAGTCTTCTTAGTACATAATAAATAGAAAAAAGTTTGCATTAACAAAGCTACTATATACTAATTAGGGCCCGTTTGTCATAGCTTTTACTTCTTGTAAAAGAGTTTTTGGAGAAAGCTATTTTAATATTTGTTTGAAAACTAATATTTAAAAGCATTTTCTGTACTGGTAGTGCTTTTAGAGGAAGCCACATTGAACTAGCTTCCTCTAAAAATTCTTCTAACCATTAAAAGTACTTTAATAAAATTAGTCAAACGGGTCCAAAAGCAGCTTTTGAACCTCAAAAACTCATTTTGGCTTTTCAAAAGTCATACCAAACAAACTCTTAGAAACGAATAATAAGATTCATAATGAAGAACTAGCTAATCTAAAGCAACTTAATCCCAGCTCATAAAATCATATCAACAGTCGTACATGGAAATAAATTCATCACAACCAACCCATTATTATTATTATTCTACAAAATTCATATTAGCTAAGATGCAAATGACTTGAGTCTGATGGGTTTCCCATGGACTTTCTCACCAGAACCATCGACTTCGACGGTACCTTTCAAAACCATCTTCTTTTTCTTCGACCAAAACATTTGTTTCAACTTGACATCTGTGACCAAATCCGCCCTGAAAACCACTTTGGAACCATTAGAAACTGCTTTGATAGCATCATTCCAAGGCAGTCCATGAGTCTCGACAACGTCTCTCCAATCATTTGTATTCTTCTTACCCTGTTTGAAACCAGGCACTGTATAATTAGCAACAGGAATATTTCCATCCAGGCCGTAGAAGAGGGTGAGGTTCAGATCTCCGTAACGTAAGCTGTTCTCTTCCATCATATTACGAAGCTGGAGGTCGAAGAAAATGAAAGTGTTGGAACTGGTAGCATTGGAAGGAATGTGTGTGTTGAGGGCAGGAGCATAAAAGTCATTTATGTAACATCTTGGCTTGATGCTTTGAAGACATAAACCGATGGGGATCAGAATGGTTGGCAAAATGAAGCAAATGCAACAGATTAGACACGCAATTTTTCCGCTTTCGTCCATTGCAGTCACTTAAATGTATATGACCAGATGAATTTTTTTTATCTTAATTTTCCTTCTTCCCATAAAGCACTCGATATATATAGACAAGATGAATGGTTTACATGTTTAGGTACATCAATGGAAAAGCAAGTCATAAAACATAAAAAAAGACTTTCATGAGTCAAGCTCGTTGAATCTTGATATCGAAGCCTTTCGTGTAAATTAGGTGAAGACTTACATGTAAATTAAAGTGGTGAAACTACTTTAAAAGATTCTTCTGTTTTAGATTAGTTGAAAGAAGCGTTACAGCTAGCTAATACTTGACAATATAGTCTTCTTAGTACATAATAAATAGAAAAAAGTTTGCATTAACAAAGCTACTATATACTACTTAGGGCCCGTTTGTCATAGCTTTTGCTTATTGTAAAAGAGCTTTTGGAGAAAGTTATTTTAATATTTGTTTGAAAACTAATATTTAAAAGTATTTTCTATACTGAAAGTGCTTTTAGAGAAAGTCACATTGAACTAACTTCCTCTAAAAACTCTTCTAACCATCAAAAGCACTTTAGTAAAATTAGTCAAACGGGTCCAAAAGCAGCTTTTGAACCTCAAAAACTCATTTTGGCTTTTCAAAAGTCATACCAAACAAACTCTTAGAAACGAATAATAAGATTCATAATGAAGAACTAGCTAATCTAAAGCAACTTAATCCCAGCTCATAAAATCAAATCAACAGTCGTACATGGAAATAAATTCATCACAACCAATCCATTATTATTATTATTCTACAAAATTCATATTAGCTAAGATGCAAATGACTTGAGTCTGATGGGTTTCCCATGGACTTTCTCACCAGAACCATCGACTTCGACGGTAGCTTTCAAAACGATCTTCTTTTTCTTCGACCAAAACATTTGTTTCAACTTGACATCTGCGACCAAATCCGCCCTGAAAACCACTTTGGAACCATTAGAAACTGCTTTGATAGCATCATTCCAAGGCAGTCCATGAGTCTCGACAACGTCTCTCCAATCATTTGTATTCTTCTTACCCTGTTTGAAACCAGGCACTGTATAATTAGCAACAGGAATATTTCCATCCAGGCCGTAGAAGAGGGTGAGGTTCAGATCTCCGTAACGTAAGCTGTTCTCTTCCATCATATTACGAAGCTGGAGGTCGAAGAAAATGAAAGTGTTGGAACTGGTAGCATTGGAAGGAATGTGTGTGTTGAGGGCAGGAGCATAAAAGTCATTTATGTAACATCTTGGCTTGATGCTTTGAAGACATAAACCGATGGGGATCAGAATGGTTGGCAAAATGAAGCAAATGCAACAGATTAGACACGCAATTTTTCCGCTTTCGTCCATTGCAGTCACTTAAATGTATATGACCAGATGAATTTTTTATCTTAATTTTCCTTCTTCCCACAAAGCACTCGATATATATAGACAAGATGAATGGTTTACATGTTTTGGTACATCAATGGAAAAGCAAGTCATAAAACATAAAAAAAGACTTTCATGAGTCAAGCTCGTTGAATCTTGATATCGAAGCCTTTCATGTAAATTAGGTGAAGACTTACATGTAAATTAAAGTGGTGAAACTACTTTAAAAGATTCTTCTGTTTTAGATTAGTTGAAAGAAGCGTTACAGCTAGCTAATACTTGACTCATATTTTAATTCACATTCTCAGCTTGATGTTTTCCCTGGTGAAGTGACCCTATCTAGGGTTTTTTTGCTTGGAAAGTATTTTCTAGTTAATGAAACGATAACAATAATTATAATAACAAATCAAAAAATGGAGTATAATGGAAGAGTTTTATAATGTTGAACGCCTCAATAGGGTCTCAAGATAAGTCGTGATTAACTTCACACAAGTTTCTCTAACCATGAACACTACTATAGAGACTAGGAAACGTGTGGTTTTCTGATTTTATATTTCGTAAAGTATCTCAATTTGAACAATTCAAGCATAAGTCATTCATTTTTTTCAAGCCCTTATTTGGACCTCATTTCCTCCAAAATTTATTTTCCATTCCACATTTCATGGGATCAACATCTTTTATCAATTTTTCAATTATACATTTTATCATTTTTATCAAAATTTACTAAAAATCTGATTTTATCAAAACCGAACAGTGACTAAATAGAATGTGTATTCATCATCTTGCCCAAAGATGGTGAAATCTAAAATAATGTGGTGCATGAAATTTAAACTGATAGTCGTCTTCATTATTACCCTTTTGATCATTTTGATCGTAGTAAACACCAATACAGTGAGGCCCAGTTGCTCAATAAAGAACTTTTATGTTCCTGCTCTCAACAGATTGGATAATTCCAATGCCAGTACCATCAACAACTTTATCTTCTTCGACCTCGAACTCAAAAATCGTTTGGATCAAATTAGTGTCCGCTATGACACTATAAATCTCACATTCTTTTATGGTCCAAAGCCAAGCCTTCCAATAGGCTACTATACAGTTCGAGGGTTTTATCAGGGTAAAAAAAAAGGTGCTCAGCGGAGAGATGTGGTCGAGACTCACGGTGTTCCTTGGTTTGACGCAGTGAACGCGGTTTCTAATGGATCCACAGTAGTTTTCAGGTTGGAGTTGGCTACAAAGGTTAAGTTTAAAGAGTGGTTTTTCATGTCCAAGAAGAGAAATCTGGCAGTCTCGGCTACTGTGGAAATCAACAACTCTGGTAAAAAGGTCCAAAAGAAGGCTATTAAACTCACCTCAGGCATTCAGGCTCCCGCTCAGACTCAGGCTCAGGCTCAGGCTCAGGCTCAGGCTCATCCAGGAAAAGCGGCTATTTAAACACGATGAGGCTTTCGATGTTTCTTCAATCTCTTTCTCACTTGTTTGTTGTTAAAGCAATGCTTCTGATCCTCTATATTTAGTGATAATAAAACTTAGTTTGTTCTTCTGGTATTTAGATTTAAGTTACAAACAAATCCGTTGCAGAATCATTGGTCAGATACTACTATGCCCCTGTTTGATTAACATTAAATTACATTACATTACATTCCATTTTTCTCTCTCCTATTTTCAACCATACAATCTTCTATAAAATAATATTACACGTAAATCGAAAACTTTACCTTCTTTTTCAACCACTAATTTTTCTAAAAAATACTATTCCCCCCATTACCATTTTCAGGTAATGGGGGCCAAACAGGGTGTATATATTTGATGGAACTGTTCAAATTGCATATTTTAGCGACTAATTTCCTGTGGTTTGGTGATGTCTTTAGTGGTAAAATTTTGTGTTGGTTAATTGAATTGTTCGCTGACATCTATAAATTCCCCAATATGTCGATATTAGAAAAGGAGAATTCGAGCTATGGCATACCCCATGAGCAACATGACAATTTAAAGCTCAAAGGTGTAGGAAACTAAGAAACCGTTCACAATTTAACAAACACGAGTTAAAGAAATTAGTCGAGATCATTAAAATTATTTGGATAGGTAACTGAAATGAATAATGCTATAGCACCACAGGTGCTAATATTATATGATAAGTTGAATTAAAGGTGAAAAATGAGACTCATTTAATTATATTTATGATTTAATGTCACTTCGCTTTCTATTGTGGATTTTTATTATTAAAAAAAAAAAAAACTTTGGTTTTCTTTTTGCTTAAGACTTTTTCTGTAATGCCTCGAGATCTTTTTCATCTTCATTATTTTATTCTTTTATAAATAAAAGTTTGACAATTATCTTTTCTAGAAAATTTACTTGACGACCCATATAAACATCACTCGGTCAATCTTCCACACATCCAAACTACCTGTTCTCATCTGAAAGGTATTGTAAGAGTGAGTATATTGAAAACACTCGGTAAGAATACATTCACATTCTTATTCACATGATATAAGTATAAAACTGACGTAATATACTAACATTTTTTAGACTTAGAGCTCGAGGAATTTCTTAAAAATTCCCATATCTCATAGGATTTAACATTTTTTTTACCTAACGGTCCATCCAAAAGGATTTAACATAGAGTTCAACCCGAAGGCCTTATAACATTTTATACCAAAAATTATACAAATATCAAAGAATTAGAATTTATCACTTTGCACGATGTATTCTTACCTCAATTTGATATCCAAGAATTTATTTGAAAATAATTTGTGAAAAACATAAATATTATACTCAGCTCAAATTCTAAAAATATTAGTGGTGAGAAGTATGTACAATGGAAACTGTGGTAGAAGAAAATCATTTCAACAATGTAAAGTTTACGTGTATGAATCTATATAGGAATGAAGTTGTGAAATTGTCTTAAAAAAGTAACTAACCTAAATATATATACCCATAACAGTCACTTATAATTAGTTATGCACGTAACATAAATCAACAAAACACATGTTAGGTTGAGGGTGAATTAATGGTGTTAATAAAATTTATTCATTATTAAGATTAAGGAGGATAATTAGATTTAATACATTTAATTATTGTAAACCTATTCGTTTCCTTCCAATATAACCGTGACTGTTAATATTTCTAGGAAAACTCATTTTATATTATATCCCCTTTACTTTAAAAGAAAGGATCCAATATTTATAGTTCAACCTGAGGCAGCGATTGCACCCTACACTAGTTTTGTACTGTAGCTGAACTCGTTATGTACTATTCATCACAAAAAAAAAAGTTTTTCTGGAAATAATAATGAAATATGGCAGTATTATTGCTGTCTTTGTTGACTTTATAAAATCATTTGTTGACGATTACTGTAGCTTCACTTAAAAAATATCCTTTCACTTCGTTAGAATGTTGTAGCTTCCATAAATGAAATTAATGAGACCATTTTATTGCCTCCATTGTTGATTTACACAAGTGAGTTACTGTAACTGTCCCTTCCAAAGAAAATCTTCTCGTGCATCATGAGAGAGTGAGACAAAATTTATGGCAGCGAATTGTAGGAATTTTTTATCATGCCAATTACCATTCGTTCAGGAAGCATTTCGTTATTGTCCATTTGACCCTTACATGCATATCGATGAGCCATTCACTCCTAACCGAGTACAGCAATTTTTTTTCCTTGGGTAATTGATCTTGTGTTTTATACCGCATAATATTTTTATTATAAAAATTGTCGCTAAAAAATAATAAACATTAATAAATAATTGATTTTTTTTAAAGAAGAAAGACGAGTTATACGCATTTTTTAAAACACACGTTTGATGTACGTTTAACTATTTTTTATATTCATTTAGATCATTCAATGCGTCTATGATATAGTTCTCGAAATGAGTTTTGAGAGAATATAGAAGATTTATGCATTCAACTACCGTACAATCGTCGATAAATTTATAAAGTCAGCATGTTATCGAAATTATTAATTTTTTTAAATGATGTCTCTTTCGACATTAAATTTTTTTTAAAGTTTATTAGAAAATTTTCTAAATGACGTAAAAAATTATTGTCGTGAAAAAATAATAAATATTAATAAAATAATTAATTTTTTTAAGAAAAAAGATTAGTTATACATATTTTTTAACACACGCGTTTGATGTACGTTTAACTATTTTCGATATTCATTTCGATCATTCGATGTGTTTATGATATAGTTTTTAAAATGAGTTTCGGGAGAATATAGAAGATTTATGGTAGATTTTTATAAAAAAAAACTAAATAAATCACTTAGTGCAAAAAAATTGACCAAAAAAAATAAAACAATAGAATAACTCCGCGCATCACGGAGAACGGAGCAAATGCTCTGTGATGCGCGGAGCGATTTTGCTCCTGGCATCCAAGTGCATCA